GCAAAACTGGTTTTATGAAAAACCACCACGCGGCTCCTTCAGCTACTCTGTTAGTGAGACGCCCCTCTCGACTAAGATGTATGCGCTGTGCGGGCCGAGAGAAAGCCTAAAATGATTATTTTCAACAGATGTACTACGCTTCCGGGAAGTGACAGCGTCCGCAACCGGTACACAAAATGTTAAATGGTGTCGTCGTTCAGGCAAGAAGTATTCGTCCCACGCCCAGAAATGATTGAGCTTTTCTACTCCAGCTTTAGTGCTATCGACGTCCACAACCACTATAGACAGGGTTCACTACAATTAGAGTCAAGTTGGCATAGCGAGAGGTGGTACCATCGCTTGTTTGCATCACTTCTGGGAATGACCGGGACAGATGCGTTCCTGGCCAATCGTGTTTATGAGCAGAATGAAAGCCTTACTGGTTGCCGTATCCCGAACGGCCATCGTCTAGAATGCTCGCTGCGTTCTAGAACGCCGATCATAAGATTTGATGTTCTAGAAGAGCTAGGAGATGTAGTTGCTACAGCTAGGCTAAACACTAACGCTTAATTCACTCAGTCTCCTTTTTACTGCGTCAAGCATACGGCATATTGAGCTCAATCCGTCGCTCTCTCCAAGGCCATGTCGCTCATTCCGCTCAAGACCACCGTCAAGGCTCTCGATGAGCACCAGCGGTACCTGTTCGTCACGTACCGTGTGCGTACGAACTTACACGACGCCAACGACCATGTGTCGCTGAACATTCGACACTTCGACTACGGCAACAGAGAAGAGTGGCTGAACTGGCGCAAGCAGTTCGAGTACATCCGCAAGCTGAAGGGCTGGCAAGAGGCTCCAGAGCTATACCAGAATGTTCGCATTCTGCTACGCGGAGCAGCCTTGGTTCGCTTTGAATCCGCTAACTCCGCCGTCATGGGCAACGAGGACGTCGAGCACTTCGATGAAACCCTTCAACGTATGACCGCGATGTACTTTCCTAAGCGCCCAGCGAGCAAGATTCGACAGTAGCTACGGGAGACCGCCAAGCCGGCAGAAATGACTGTCGAGGACTACGTCGCTCGCCTCCACCAGATCAACGAGTTGATCCAATTCCTACCACCACCAAATAACCGAATGACCAGCCACGAACTCCGAGAAATCGTGGAGTGCAACATGCCGTCGTCGTGGCAGAAAAAGTATGATGAAAGTGGTCAGGACTACGAGTCGCTTGAAGAGCTTGTCGCGTACTTCCGACAGCTCGAGGAGGCTGAGGTCTCCAGCAGAATGCATCAGCATGGACGCCGCAACCACAAGGGTAGCGGGTCTGCACCGTCGAACGGTGGACGTGGTGGCCAAGGTGGCAACAGGAACAGCAAGAAGCCCAACGACGCCAAGAAGAAATGGTGTGAACACCACAAGTCGCACAGCCACAACACGAACGAGTGCCGCGCAAGGAACAAGGCTCCAGAAGAAGCCAACTTCATTGACATGGACGTGACCGAGACATGCTACAACATCGAGTCCGCTTCAGCCAAGACGGACGTCCAGCCTCCGTCAACAGCAACAACGCCTGCACCAGCCCCAGGTGCAAAGAACCATGTCACGACAGAGCTTCTCGTGGTAGTAAAGCTTCCTAACGGCGCTACCAGACTTGTGCGCGCGCTAGCCAACTTCGGTTCATCGCGGTCGCTATGCTCTCACGATATCATTCCCGACGAACGCCAACTATCCCGCTTCACGACCAAGTGGATGACAAAAGGAGGTCGCTTCGAAACTATTGGCACAGCCCCACTGTACTTCAAGCTGCCCGCGTTTACTACGAACCGCGTCGTGCAACACAATTTCTACGTGACTGCTCCTGGTGCAGAGAAACATGGCTACGAGTTCATAATCGGCCGTGATTTGATCCTGGCGCTCAAGCTGAAGTTCGACTTCGATCACTGCACCATTAAATGGGATGGCCTCGAAGTGCTGATGCAATCCAGAGTCAACCTTGCCGCCGAGAAGTACTTGTTCGAGATTCCTACCAGCGTCCAAGACGCTGAACGACGTATGGTAAAAATCCTGGACGCCAAGTATGCCAAAGTGAACGTCGACGACTGCGTTCCTGTGCACCTCACCGAGCCAGAGCAAGCCGAACTTCGCCAGCTGCTACTTCAGTTTGATGATCTCAACCAAGGCACCATTGGTACCATGCCCGGTGAACCTTACGAGTTTGAGCTAAAGGAGAGCGCGCAGCCATACCATGCTCGACCGTTTGGCATCCCACATGCCTATCTTGACGCAGTCAAGAAGGAAGTCGCACGACTCGAGCGACTGGGAGTCATTGTCCGTGATTCAAATAGACCGTGGGCCGCACCAGCATTTATCATCCCGAAAAAGTACAAAACAGCACGCTTTCTGACTGACTTCCGGCGCCTCAACGCACTCATCGTTCGCCATCCGTTCCCAATGCCCAAAATCACCGAGTTGCTACAAGGTTTGGAGCGCTTCGTCTTCGTTACTTCGCTCGACATGAACATGGGCTACTACTCCATCGTCCTGGGTGAACGATCCTCGCGTGTCTGCTGCTTCGTGCTACCATGGGGAAAGTTTCGGTATCTGCGACTGCCCATGGGTATCTGCACGGCCCCCGACGAATTTCAACGCCGCATGCAACGCATGCTTGGCGATCTTCCCTTCGTCCGCGTGTATCTCGACGACGTGCTTATCATCACCAGCACGAACCTCGCCGACCATCTCAACCACATTCGCACGGTGTTTGAGCGCTTTCGTACCAGTGGCTTGCAAGTCAACATGAACAAGAGTCGTTTTGCTGCTCTCAAGACCGAGTACCTCGGATTTCGCCTTACTCGCGATGGGATTCAGCCGCTGCCGGACAAAATCAAAGCCATCCAACAGCTCGCTCCGCCAGAAACCAAGCGTGAACTTCGTCGATTTGTTGGTCTCGTTAACTACTATCGCGATATGTGGCCGCAGCGCGCTCACCTGTTGACGCCATTGACGTCGTTGACGTCGCCGCGCACGCCTTTCCGCTGGACACCGGCGTGCCAAACTGCTTTCGAGCAAATCAAGGCTGTGGTAGGCCGTGCGGTGACGCTGCATTTTCCCGACTTTTCACTACCGTTCGAGGTGCACACGGACGCCAGCACCTTCCAGCTGGGGGAGTGGTAAGCCAAAATGGCAAGCCATTAGCTTTCTTCAGCAGGAAGCTGTCCAGCGCCCAGCGCAAATATGCAATGATGGAGCTCGAGGTACTGTCTATCGTGGAAGTCCTACGTGAATTTCGCAACATCCTCCTGGGACATCGGATTATCGTGCACACAGACCACAAAAACCTTTCCTTCGCAAACTTCCAGTCTGACCGAGTCAATCGATGGCGTTTACTCGTGGAAGAATTTGCCCCGAGATCAAGTATATCAAGGGAGAAAACAATGTCGTCGCCGACGCTCTCAGCCGGCTACCCCTCGTGGAAGATGGAAGCGAGACTTGCTTCGCGCTTGAACCATGTGATGATGATTTCCCACTAGCGTTTGAGCGTATCCAGAGTGAGCAGCTTCGTGATGAACAGCTCCAGCAGCGTCTGCGAGACAGCCAAGTTGAGACTAAACAGCATAGGGAGTTCAAGATCATTTATTCCGCCAACCGCATTGTGATTCCTCCGGCGCTCCAACACCACGTGACCAACTGGTACCACGAGCAACTCAAACATCCGGGTATGAATCGCACGTATTTGACGATCCGCCAGCATTTCACCTGGATGAACATGAAACGCTGCATAGAAGAGTTCGTGAGTCGCTGTGAAATATGCCAGAAGTGGAAGCGCAACAAAAAGAAATACGGCAAGTTACCTGTGGCAGAACCTGTTGTAGAACCGTGGAAGGTAGTATGTGTCGACCTCATCGGGCCCTATACACACGCCGCAACCGGCAACAAGTACAGAGCGATGACCATGATTGATCCTGCTACAGGCTGGTTCGAAGTGCACGCCATCACGGATAAGGAGGCCAAGACCGCCGCGCACATTCTCGACAACGAGTGGTTCTGTAGATACCCTCGTCCAGAATGCTGCATCTTCGACCAAGGCAACGAGTTTACGGGCGCTGAATTCCAAGAGATGCTGGAGAGCTATGGAGTAACACCTCGTCCGACTACTGTCAAGAACCCTCAGGCCAATTCTGTGCTAGAGCGCATTCACCAAGTCCTCGGTGACATGGTTCGCACCTCGGACTTAAACGCCAACGCATGGGAACAAGTGCTACCTAGCCACGCCTTTGCCATTCGCGCGACGGTGTCCACGACCAAGGAGGCAACGCCTGCACAGCTCGTCTTCGGCCGCGATATGGTGATGAACACAGCCTTCATGGCAAACTGGAAGCGCATCACGGACCGCAAACTACGTCAGGTTCTCCGTGACAACGAGCGTGAAAACAGTAGCCGCCTTCAACACACGTACCGCGTCGGAGATCTGGTGCTCATTACCAAGGACAAGAATCGCATCAGCAAGCTGGACCAGCCGACAGAAGGCCCGTTCAAGATCCTACAAGTCAATACCAACGGCACCGTCCAGATCCAGCGCTCGGCGTATGTTGAAATTATCAACATTCGCCGCCTCGTCCCGTATCGCTCCGTTGGGGAAGCACATGCCGTATCCCGAACGGCCATCGTCTAGAATGCTCGCTGCGTTCTAGAACGCCGATCATAAGATTTGATGTTCTAGAAGAGCTAGGAGATGTAGTTGCTACAGCTAGGCTAAACACTAACGCTTAATTCACTCAGTCTCCTTTTTACTGCGTCAAGCATACGGCACTGGTGAGATTGACGACTTCAGGTCGCTGTCCTGCTAATTTCGGCCAGCCATGGTTGTCGAACGGTCCGTACGGTTGGTCATGGTCATCCTAAACTCGATGACCAGGGCTTTCGGACGGGTACGGCTAACCGGAAAATTACGCTTGCGACCTCTGCTGTACATTGACAATGAAGCGTTTGTATCGAGTCGAAGCAAAGAAAAAGATCCCTTATTAATGAATTAAAGAAGTCGATTTTGGCATAAATTCTCACCGGACCCTATTCTCGAGCTCAATTTAAGGTTAAAAATATGAGCTTATTGCTGATGACACTTTACTAGAGGTTCATGAACAATCAAATGCATTATCCAACTATGTTTTATTCGTACTACGTAGAAGGATTAAGCCCGGTAGCTACATGTAGTTATACCAGCAAATGCGAAGTACAATCTGTTTGACAGAAAGATCATGAATACTTGTTGGGTCTACATGTAGTAACAGTAGATCCTGTGTATGCCTCGACGGCATCCAAGTGCTTCTCAACCAGTTAGTTTAGCGAACGGAGGCGGCGACCACTCTGCTGAGCCGCTTCGTTCGTGGTCTGCTGAGTAGTTTGCTCCTGCTCGTGCTGCTGCTCCTGCTCGTGCTGCTGCTCCTGCTCGTGCTCACCGCCCTGAGTCTGCGAACCGTTATTCTGGTTCTGGGAGCCATTGTTGCCAACAGGGGCCGGAGTTTCCTCGCCACCCTGGTTCTGCGAGCCGTTGTTGCTGCCGGGACACGGAGTCGGGGCATCCTGATGCTGCGAGCCATTGTCACCAACAGGGGCCGGGGTCTCGTCGCTGCCCTGGTTCTGCGAACCATTGTTGCTGCCAGGGCAAGGAGTCGGTGTGTTTTGGTTCTGCTCACCCCCGCCAAGGCCAATGCCGACACCCACGCCAACACCGGCGTCAACACCGACACCGCCAACATTCACGCCGGCACCAAGACCGACACCAACGCCAACGCCGCCGTTCTGCTCACCCGACTGCGAAGATGTCTGAGAGTTTGGGCGAGGGGTCTCAGCGTTCTGGTTCTGATCACCACCGCCAATGCCAACACCAACACCAACACCGGCTCCGACATCAACACCGACACCGCCAACATTCACGCCGGCACCAAGACCGACACCAACGCCAACGCCGCCGTTCTGCTCACCCGACTGCGAAGATGTCTGAGAGTTTGGGCGAGGGGTCTCAGCGTTCTGGTTCTGATCACCACCGCCAATGCCAACATCAACACCAACACCGACATCAACACCGGCACCGCCAACATTCACGCCGGCACCAAGACCGACACCAACGCCAACGCCGCCGTTCTGCTCACCCGACTGCGAAGATGTCTGAGAGTTTGGGCGAGGGGTCTCAGCGTTCTGGTTCTGCTCACCACCGCCAATGCCAACACCAACACCAACACCGGCTCCGACATCAACACCGACACCGCCAACATTCACGCCGGCACCAAGACCGACACCAACGCCAACGCCGCCGTTCTGCTCACCCGACTGCGAAGACGTGTGGGAATTTTGGTTCTGCTCACCACCCCCAAGTCCAAGTCCGAAGCCCAGTCCGGCGCCAAGTCCGACGCCACCGTTCTGGTTCGGGTGACCACCGCCGACACCGAGTCCTAGACCCAGTCCGGCGCCAAGTCCGACGCCTCCGTTCTGGTCCGGGTGACCACCGCCGACACCGAGTCCTAGGCCCAGTCCGGCGCCAAGTCCGACGCCTCCGTTCTGGTCCGGGTGACCGCCGCCGACACCGAGTCCTAGACCCAGTCCGGCGCCAAGTCCGACGCCTCCGTTCTGGCCCGGGTGACCGCCGCCGACACCGAGTCCGAGACCCAGTCCGGCGCCAAGTCCGACGCCTCCGTTCTGGACCGGGTGACCGCCGCCGACACCGAGTCCGAGACCCAGTCCCGCGCCTACTCCGACGCCTCCGTTCTGGACCGGGTGACCGCCGCCGACACCAAGGCCGAGGCCCAGTCCCGCGCCTACTCCGACGCCTCCGTTCTGGTCCGGGTGACCGCCGCCGACACCGAGTCCGAGACCCAGTCCGGCGCCAAGTCCGACGCCTCCGTTCTGGTCCGGGTGACCGCCGCCGACACCGAGTCCGAGGCCCAGTCCCGCGCCAAGTCCGACGCCTCCGTTCTGGACCGGGTGACCGCCGCCGACACCAAGGCCGAGGCCCAGTCCCGCGCCTACTCCGACGCCTCCGTTCTGGTCCGGGTGACCGCCGCCGACACCGAGTCCGAGACCCAGTCCGGCGCCAAGTCCGACGCCTCCGTTCTGGTCCGGGTGACCGCCGCCGACACCGAGTCCGAGGCCCAGTCCCGCGCCAAGTCCGACGCCTCCGTTCTGGTCCGGGTGACCGCCGCCGACACCGAGGCCGAGGCCGACACCAACACCAAGGCCGTTCTGGGTAACCGACTGAGAGTTGTCAGACTGGGGGCATGGCGTCTCCGCGTTCTGATTCTGCTCACCGCCGCCTAAACCAAGACCCACTCCGGCACCAACACCCAGCTGCACCCCGTGCTTGTAGTCTGGGACCTGGTTGCCGACGGTTGCCTCGGTAATGGTGGACATGATCAGGGCTGCGGTCGCGCACACCGTGAACATCTTCGTGCAGGACAGCATGATGATTGAGTTGAAATGAATGTAAGAGTTACTTGAGAGGTTCCGATCGAACAGTTCGGAGACTTGGACCGGAGCCGGCAAGTTGTATAATGAAGAGATGGAAGACGCTCCGTTGCCTCGCCGACATCCACGCTTCCTGCAGCTGCAACGCAATTCGCCCAGTCCTATCCAAGTTGTTTGGATCGGGGATACCGAAGGCACGAATCGCACATGGGACGCGTCAACTCAAAGCCATAGAAGTATCCAGCTTGGTGTCCAGTACCGTACATGTACATGTATAGACCCGACGGACATTTCGGTGATCGAAGCCAACCCCTAATCCATCTATACGGATCATCCACGACAGTGTGTAAAGCTTGAAACTGTGGTACAAAAAATTCAAACAGAACTAAGAGTTCTGTAATACATGTACAGCCCGCAAACTGCGGTCAGCAGTGCTGACCGCAGTCGCCACTTGCTGCTGACTCAGCACATGGTGCCACTTGCTCGTGGCGTCGAGATCTGCTTGGGCGCTTCTGACAATTTTCGGTGGATAGCCTCGCTGGCGTCCGATCGAAAAGTCTCAGAGCGCTCGAATCGAGCCTCGATTGCGCCGCTACAAAGCTCTGTAACAGAGTCTGTTATAAACAGTGTTGGCGCCACTTTATCGTCGCCTTGCACACCGAGTACTGTAGTACTCGGCGAGAACGCTTCGGTATTACTGTACTAAAACTGTACAGTACTGTACTGTAGTTGCTCACCATTTGTACGGTGATTAAGGCTTCTGGAAGTTCCCTTTTTGCCTGTTTCAAGCACGTATGGATATCAATAGTTGTTGATCCCATTCGCGTACTCCGAGTGCCTTCTGAACTTGCCTCAAAATAATAGTTCGGATTGTGACTCGCCTCGCCTTTTCTGGTAGGTTTGTTTCCGCTGGAAGTTGGTGGTATAATACAGCAACCGTACCTGGCTTCCCCTAATTTGCTTGAAAGGTTCCCATCGCAGTAACACACTCTAGCGTACGGTCGGAAAGGCTTTGTGACATGCGTGACCTTGCAGAAATGTCGGCATTTTTACTGACGGCATTGATTGCCGGTGGTATCATGCTGTACTGATGCCGAAGTTCAAAACGTTCCCATCCAGTTTTTCTCTATTGCGTGGCGAGAAACGCAGGTGACGAGCAAACGAAACAAAACAAGCGACACGATTCCATTGGTTCGTCCCTGAATCGCTGTCCAGCAAAAACGGTTGCGGTTGGAACTCAATGATGGTTTCCTCTCGCACACAGTCAGGTTAGAAATTAAACTCTTTCAGTGGCTCTGATAAGTCCATCGGAAATATTAATTCATATATAACATGCTGGTACCGGTACTACAGTGCCCAGATTATAATACTGTCGTGGGCTGTTAGACATTTTCATACCGGTAGATTGTCAGCGCACTTCAAATAATAGGTCCTTGTACAGTAGATATGGGGTCGCATTTAATGTGCATGAGTCATTAGGCACGGATTTCCAAAGGCGGTGAGAGCTTTCGGAAGTACTTAAGTAATCAGCAGTACCGGTGCGTGCATGTACAGTACTCCGGAGTATAATAATCCTCATGCCGCGCCAAATCTACCACACCGCTACGTTGATGATCGTCAACTTGATGTTCATCAACGGTCAACTTGACCACTTGACGGTCAAAGGTCAAGTTGACCGTCAAGTGGGGTGACCCCACTGGGGTCGATCGCAGACATGTACACTTGTACAGTACATGTACTGTAGTTGCGCCACGCATACTGTACATACCGGTACTGTCGTATTCTTTCAGTCCGCGCCATGATGGTCGCTTTACCGGTATAATCAGAACATCCACTCCAACGTAATCCATGATGTGGACCACCTCCTTATAAAAAACACGTTTTGGCCATGATGCGGGGGGTGTTCGAGGCTTTCCTGACGGACCCGATCCGCGTAAATGAGGACGTCTTCGCGCTGTGGCTCGAGGGCCACAACGCCGGAGACGCGCTGGCAGCACGAATGCGTCTCCCTTCGGCGGTTCCCACGCCGTTTTTGGGTGGAGACGCCGCCGCCAAGCTGCGCGAACTACTGTGGCGAGACACTGTGGACCAGTATCGCCTCTACGATAAGCTAGAGCACTACTTATCGCAGCCGAGTCTATTCCGCTCGCAGCTCCTCTTCCAGATCCCGCCGTCACAGCAGTATTACATGGTGGAGCGCTATTACACGCGTGACGCCGACGTGGACCGATGGCTACTGGGGAAGAAACTCTCCGGACGGCTCGAGAAGGACTTGGACGACGTAGCGGAGCGTTCCGGGCGCACACTTAAGAGTTGTCGCCGGCAGCTAGAAAACCTGAGACGTGTGTACGCTGCCGTAGAGGACCGCAACTTCCACGGTCTGCCATGCCGCGCCATCAGCGAGCTCTTTCTGTTGTCAGAGCAGCTCTCCAGCAAGTACGCATGCCTGCTCTTCATCCTGCACACGAGATTCCAAGTGCACCCTCAGCACCCAGTCACGGGGTTTCTCACATGTCCTGACCTTCGTTTCTTCGCTGCGTTGCTCATGACGCACTGGCTACCCCAACGGAATACGTTGTCCAAGCTCCAGCTCCTTAAGGAAGTCAAGGATACCGCTGAAGAAACAGTAGTGGAGAACGGTGCCCAGATCGCGCACCGCTCTCCAAACACAGGAGAGTGGCCCACAATCGGATTCCTACAGGAGAGACTGCAGTCCACGAGTGTGAGGGAGACGGTTGGGTTGGATCTGAGTCACCCACTGACGAACTGTCTGCGTGACCTTAAGGCCCACCTCATCAATGACAACGATGTGCTTCGAGTGTACCGCGAGAACGTCATGAGTCGCTTAAGGTCGTGGGCTGCTGCAAAAGGAATGCTTAGCGAGAGTGCTCGTAGCTTGGACGAGCTCGAGAGCAAGTTGTACCTCGTGGTGCATGGCTTCCTAACGATCGGTGCGGGACTATCGCAGCCAAAAGAACTGCAACATTTACTTGAGTATTTACTCACTCGCGTCATACGCGTTCTGCACGACTGTGAGATAACAAAGGCGCAGCTTAATGCGCTCTTTGGTGCGCTGGTGGATGCGTTGGCCGAGCTAGACGTGTGGTATCTAAACGGTGAGCAAACACGCGGACTGCTGCTTGCAAGCTGGGAACGCTTCATCAGCGTTTGTCGCGCCATTGTACTGACTGTCTACGATCGTTGCCATCCTTTGGCCGTATTGGCGTACCAGCAAACAATCTCTGATGATGCAACAGAGGAAGCATCGTCGATGCATAATTCGTACTAAGTATTACTTCAGTAGCTGCGTGGTTTCTTTTAAGACTCTCTAGCACTGCTTCATACGAACGGAGCGGTCGAGCTCGCCCGCACAATCTGGATTCCTTTTCGTGCCGGGGAGAGTGCGAGACGCGGTCGCTGCTTCTCGATACGCAGGTGATATTGCTCTCGGTGACGCTGCAGCGTCCGTACTCGCCGTTCCAGGGCCACATTGTAAGAATCCTGGAGTGGCCTTGCTTGGTCTTCATGGCGATCCATTTGCACACGCAATCTCTGCAGTCGAGTTGCTTTAGCAGCATCGTAACGTTGTTTCTCTTCTTGTCCGAGCGTCGTAATCACTTTGGCTGGAGCCGAAATCGATCGCGACGTCGACGCACTGCCGTACACTTGCGCTTCCGTCTTGAACCGCGTCAAGTCGTCTTGGTTACCACTGCATGGAAATTCAGCATATAGGTGTCGTAAAAACCAGCTACGGTATCAGTAAGAGCTTTTTTTAAAGACCTACCTGATGATCCCTTTAGTATTCGGGTATGGAGTGCGACCGCATCGCGTTGGAGTTTCGGTTCGCCTAGAGGCAGCCGCAACACCGTTTTAATTACTTGACAGAAAGCATGACTAATCCCAGCTCAGGTCACCTTGTCAAATGGGAAAAACTGAACGTCCGGGCAGCTTGACGTCGTGGACTTTCGTTTTGTTTGCTTGGTTTATGTTGTTCTTCGACTCTCATGTCTTCAGTATCGCCAGTTCGAGCCGAGCGACATCTTTGGTCTTCACTACTTCCAAAAACATTCGAAAATTCTTTGAAACAAATCTCGCCGTTCCCGTCAGTGTCCACGCGCGTAGCTAAGCGAAGGAACTCGTGCTCTGGCAGGTTTAATTCCACTTCTTTTAACTGAGAACAAAACAACACAAAAGTCACTAAGGCCTGAAAAGCTCTAGCAAAAAAGACTCCAAATCGCACTCCATGACAAAGTTCTCGAAACGACAAATAGCCGTTGTGGTCGTCATCGAACGCAGTATACGCATCGTTGAGTCTGACAGCAAACTCCTTCAGCTTGCACTGGAGCTTTGCTCTAAAGCGGGGGTTCTACAGCAGTAGCGTTAGGTACACGAACCTCCGCGCTATCGACAGCAGAATACACTTACACCAATATGGTTTGACTGCTCGGGTATTGCTTGGGTACGGAAAAACTCCAACGGGTCTCGTTCCTGGTTGTGCTTTTCACTTGCACCTCGTGCACTCTTTGATTATATCAAAAATTGCAAGTTACCATTACCGGTATGCTAGGAAGTAAGTATTTCTCCCGATCCTCTGCTGTACCTGGACACGGCGCTTTGGACGACATCCGTCTCGAATGCCGGGAAGACGGCTGGACTGAGGGCGTCTAGCTATAGCAACTCCACTCCTCTTTTCCGAAATGGCTGTCGATAGTGTACTGTGCTCAGTCACCACGTCAGCTGGAGGTGTCACTCGCTTCGACGTCGACGTGATGTTGGCAGGAACTGTTCGTCCTGACCCCCAGCTCGACGAGGGAGGCAGTTCCGCTGTACTCGTCGACGTCACTGCGTTGCTGTTGCCGTTTACATGTCGTCGCGGTCTCATTGCTCGCCACTTCTTGCTCCTTTCTTGGCTATTGACGGTCTAGACACGTGATAAGCTTAATAATAACCGAGTGACCGAACGAACACCGGCAAAGAAAGCGTTTCATCTCCCCTCTCTCTTCAATTACACGATAAACGCGACTACGGCGCATCCGTAGTGGTGGCGCACACATTCTCGCTCTCTTTAGTGATGGGAGAATTGAAGCGGTGAAGGACCATCGCCAGCGCGCCACACGCAGCAGCCGATGTCAAGTGCACATGCGGTACGCGCCGGTCATGCCACAAAGCGATCAAACCGGCAGTGAGTCCACCCATGAATGGATTAAGCAGGTCGTTCTTGTCTCTTGCCTTCTCTAGACTGCAGCTCACGCCTCCGTAGAGGCCCAGGAAGCCAGCAAAGCCCAGCATGTTGCGTACGCAGAGCGGTCCCAACTTTCTGGCGATCTCGCCCGCGACACTGGAGCCTGGCCGATTCGCCATGTGCCGTGCTACCTCGGCGTCCGTCACACAGGCCATAGCGTAGCCATCCACTGCGATGGTCCAGGCCGCACCTGTCCCGAGTCCTCGTAAGGTCAGTAGTGCGGTGTTCGTTACGCACTCGGAGTTCGACGTCTTGGAGGTATTAGACGCGTTGAGAGCCTCCCGTCGGTCTGCGATGGCCGAGACCCCTGCGACTGTCAGCAGAGGGACAAGAGCGCTCGCGGAGCCTACCATAATACCAGCGCTCCCATCGGTGGGCTGCAGTTTTAGTCCAACAAAGACTCAGATTTGACTTATTTTGACAGATCAGAATTTGCTCAGATTTGAATTGCCGACTCAGATTTGCTCATCGCATTTTTAATGTGCATTTCAAATTCGAGCGGCACAAGCGACGTACACGCGACGCGCGGGCGGTAGCTCTGGATAGAAGACTCAGATGGAAGAGATTGTAACAGGAGGAGAAGCACCAGAGGTTCCTCTCTCTTGTGATGTGGTGGTGGACGCTGAGGACCACGTGGAAGTGTCGAAACCTGCTACACTATACCGCACGACCTCGCAGGCGCTTGAGTCCTCTTTGTCAACCACAAACGATGCCACCGCAGCAGCTGCTGACGACGACGGTGAGTTTGCCGTGCGCTTCTCAACGGCTCAGCTTAAGGCGAAGATCGCGCAGGCCAAGCACGAGGCCAAGCTAGCGGCAGACGCGGAGCTGCTGGCAGCCAAGAAGGAGCTGGTGGAGTGGCGCTACAAAGTGGCTGATCGCGAGCGCGAACGAGACAAAATGCTATCTCAGTGTGAAGCGCTGCAGAAGCGACTAGACGCCGTGTTGCAGGAACACAAGCAGACACTGCTGGGTATGCGCGAGGACTTGCAGCTCGAGACGCTGCTGGCAACGCTCGACATGGAAAAGGCCACGCGAAAAAGACTGCAAGAAGCGTTTCAAGCTCAGCAGCAGGCGCTTTCCTTAGCGCAAGAGCGAGTAGACAAGCTGGACGTGCAGGTCACTAATTACCAGAAGACCGAGACGGTGCTAGCCCAATCCGTCGCACACCTGCAACATCGCTTCGCCACCAAAGACCAACTGCGTGCGGCGTCAGTAGAGCACGTCCAGCGTGAATTAATCGAGCAACATGAACAGGAAATGGCTGCACTATGCGGGGAGCTGGCAATCGCACGGAGTACCGAGAAAATGGCGCAGGAACAGCTGCAACAACTTCAGAAGGAGCTTAAGACCCTGCGTGCTAACGAGCAACTAGCGCTTGCGTCTAGAGAAAATGTGGCCACACACGAGCAAGAGTTGCAAGCTAAAATCGCTCAGCTGGAGACCGAGAAGGCTGTACTGCACAGCAAGGCCCAGCAAGTGCAGAAGGCAGACGCCCAGCTTCGTAGCCAGGTTCACGCCCAGAGCGAAGAAATTGCGACGTTGCGAAAGGATAAGGAAGCGTTACAGCGCGATAACAAAGAGCTGGGCGAGATCGCCAGCGACCTGATGCAGATGGCCGAGCGGCAACACGAAGAGAACGTGAAGCGCGGAGTCAGTCCAGCCAAAGCGACGGGAGATCCCCACATGGCTACACCTGGTAGCACGCGCGAAGAGGACGGAGTTTTCCTGCAGAAACGCAAGAAGCGCTTACGTTTGTCTCTCGGGTAAGCTCGCTCTTTGTTTCCGTGAACACCATAGCTGCTACAGTAGACAGAGGAACAAAAGACGCTCTGCTGTCCTCTCACTCGACCCTCAAGCTTTGGACTACCAACCTACTGTCTGTCTCCGAGCATTTTTTACGTCTGCAAAAGCTCAACTGGTTGACCACGTGAAGTAGCGACGACGTCTACTTCTTTCCTTTCTACACGATCAGAGCAAAAAAATCAGTGGCGTGAGTGCGATGAAATATTAGTAATGTGAGGGCAGTGACGTACCTTTCGTTTCTTTTTGGACTTCTTGGTGGGGGTGATCTTCTTAGGCTTCGGCTCGTTGGTTTGGTCCTTGGCTTCGTCATTGTCGCCTTCATTGTCGTCTCCATCATTGTCGTTATCATCGTCGTTGTCGTCGTCATTGTCGGCTGCTTCTGCGTTTACGGACACGGGCGTGAACGCCGACACCATCAAATTCTCGTCTTCTTCTGTCTCCGATGGCTTCTTCGGCGACGTCTTCGGCGTCGTCTTCTTGTCCTTGGGCGGCGACGGCTGCGACGGCTTGGGCGGGGATGTCTTTGCCGGCTTCACTGGTGTCGACTCTTCGAGCGTCTGTGTTGGTTTAGGTGGCGATGGCTCCTTAGCTGCTGGCTTCGGTGGCGATGACTCCTTGGGTGCTGGCTTGGGTGGCGATGGCGCCTTTACTGCTGGCTTCGATGGCGATGGCTCTTTGGCAGGCTTCGGTGCCGATGGCTCTTTACCTGCTAACTTGGGTGACGACTCTGGCTTCATGACCGGAGCTGCTGCCGGTTCTGGTGGCGTCGGTGTCTGTGCTGCAGCTGCCGGTGCCAGCGGTGACGGGGTTTCTGTTGGTTTTGCGGGTGAGGGGGCCTTGATCACTGGTGCAGCCAGTGGTGTTGGCGGCTTATCGTTGAGTCCCAGCAAGTCGACATTCTCAACCGGTTTCTTTGCTGGCTGTGGCTTGGCCGGCACCTTGGAACAGGCGTCTCCTGCAGCGATGACAGCCGACGGAGACTTGTAGCTACCACTGGCGCCTTCTTTCTTGACGTCGACCGACTTATCGCTGCAGCAAGAAGCCATTCAATCAATGGACTAAGACAAGGACGAAGTAATTGTATCTTAAGCTACGCACACTCGTTTGTTACCGTTCCTGCCCTTGGGCAGCAGCGCCTCGTTGCCGCTGTCGAAGCGGTCGTCCTCTCGGGACAAGCAGCAGCCCATAGTGGCAGCGGTCTCTTCTTATCTACGCGCTGGTTGCGGACTCTCTCGGCCTTCGACGTCAGTCCTGAGTCTCGCGGGTTCTTTCCGTCACTGGACAAGCAAGCGGCCGTCCAGGATTCGTCGGTATCTTTTCGCGGCAGAGCCCTTCACCTGATTTCGACCGGTATCAGACCGGTAAGCTGAAGCTGGACGATCGCCATGAAATTTGCCAATCATCATCGGCCATGGTGGTGGGCTCACTCTGGCGCATGGTGTTAAGTCCGATGAACGTGACGGTCGCGGGCGTCGATGCGTTGCACCTTGTGATACTGGCGACTGTTGACACAACCCAAGCATCTACTAGTACATCACAGACTACACAGCGTCTACATGTAGTCGGCCTGATAATGCTCGGGTTCTCGATGTTGCTCTCGCTCTCGTGCGCACTCGGTGTTTGGTTCATCCCGAAGCGCGGTGTGGGATGCTCGATGGTTGTGAACACGTTGGTCTTCCTAATTCATGCAATGGCATTCCTCCCTCTCGGTGTTATTATCCTGGTAGACGGACATCAAGTGCTAGGTCTGCTGGAGCTGGCATTTGCACTAGAGATGGTGGCAGGATGCGTTTGTTGTCGGATCTACAGTGTTAGAGTGCGAAACGAAGTGGATCGTTGTGATGCATTGGAGATATCGTACGAGCAGCTGAAGAAGGAGCAGGTTTAGAAACTTGGAGTTATCTAAAAGCTAAATCATATCATGTCCGCTTTAACCCCTCTGTTACCGCAAAATGAGCCCGTGAACCACTAATTTTACGTCATAACTTACGGCGTAGCTTTTACCAGCGCGTTTGTATGGTGCTGTATCTTCCACTTGCCTATCCAAAACGATGGGAGGTATACGTTCTCAAAGGTTTTGACACGCTACGTCGTATATCATACGACGTAAGGATGACCCAAACGACACGGACACCGACACTTACGACTTTGTAAGAGTGAACATAAAAATTAAAACGGGAAGACGCAAGCAAATGCACACATAGAGCAGTGCTTTTCGATGACTGACATGCTAAAAGAGGAACAGACACAGAGCATATGGTAAAGGACGTCACATTTATGAAGCAATGAACACACTCATCGTCAGGGGGGGGATAACTAAGGAGGGCCTCCAGCTGGGATAAGTTGTCCTCATCGTCTGGCGTTCCTTCGCATTCACGGTTCGGCCTCCTCGTCAGCACCCTCATTGTCTTCGCGGCGAATCTCACGACGAGTCTTCTTGCGGACGCCGACGGTTTTGGGAGCGCGGCGCAGCACGACTCGCTTGCCAAGGTGTGCTGGGATCCTGTCACCGCACGCGAAGTCCTCGTGCCACACTTGGAAGCAAGTCTTGTCGCCACCTCTGCGCGCCTTGCCACACAGGAAGAACTTGGCGTCGCCGTTGGAGCAGTCCGGGCAGTAGTAGGTCGTCTGGAACGACTATTTGAGCTCGCCTCGATACAGCGAGCACACCTTGCACGACCGCTGACGCCTCTTCTGGATGCCGCCCCTCACAGTCACCCAGTCGTTGAACTGCACGAGCGTGTGCCCGGAGAATGCAGGGCGCCGTCGCTTGCGTGCTGCTGGCGACGGAGTGGGGGCTGCCATGAAGTCTTCGTCCTTGAGCTGTAGCAGCTGCTTGTGCAGCATGCTCAACCACTCGTATCGCTTCATGGGCGTCTCGCCGGCGAGCCGACTGGCCTCTTTATGCGTGAGGTACGCGTTGACGAGCGCCAGGTCCAGTAGTCCGAGGAAAAGACTCTTATAATACTTCCGGAGCCTGAAGGAGAGCTGGATGGAGGAGGACTGGAGGCGGAGCTGGTCATGCACGTCGACTTCTCCCATCCAGCGCTGGTAATCCGTCACCAACTTCGGGCACTTGAACATCGAAGTCCCGAGCCCCTTCAGGTTCCGCTGGATCCTGTCCTCTGCCATGGACACACCTGTCGCGAGGTAGTGGACCGGCTATCGGTCCCACCAGAGGCACGAAACCATGGTCGGCACTGCCGTCGATCTTGCGAACTTGAAGGATCCACGCTCGATGCGCCTTGGTCGCGTCTTATGCTCCGCTACGATGTCGCGGTTGAAGCCCAGGCGGTTCGTCATGATCGTACCGATCACGTAGATTGACATAGAGAGAAGCTGGATGGCGAGGGCTACGGACGAATAGAAGCGGTCGATGACCACAACCCGGAAGCCACGATGCCCAGCTAGAACAGTGCTCAGGTTGCGGATGACTGCCGCAGCGCCCGTCTTACGGTCAAATGCCTGCGCAGCAGACTCGCTGGCTTGGCGTTTTCCGACATAGATCTCAAACCTGAAAGATACGACATTAAAAGCACGGTCAAAATCATAAAGTCATAACTTACGACCTAGCAAATCAACAAAAAAACATTCGTCGCTTACCGGTGGCAGTACGCAGTCAACGAGTCGCATGTCATAAACATATTGGTCCCGTAGCGGTGAGGCTTGTCTGGCATGAACATCCTGGTCGTGTTGCGTCTGGATGTCGCCGGCAAGACACCTTCGTCAAACGAGATGATGTTCGGCGGCTTCCACGCGCTCAGGAACCGTTCCTGCAGTACATCAACAACGTCACGGATCTTCCACAGCTTGTCTTGACGGTTCGGTCTGTCATTGTTCGCGAAGTGTAGATCGCGCAGGATCGACGTGCAGCGGTTCCGGCTCATGTACTTGCCGAACGCACCTGCACTTAAAGCACCATCGTCGGTCATTGCCCAGTGCTGCGAAAAGCGTCGGGTGGGGCTCAACATATGAGCCACGAGAAGCCCAATAACGCACAAGATCTCGCGCGGTGAGTAGTCGTTCTCCCGACGAATACGGCGTCGAAGCTCACGAAGTGTACGCATGTTCTCCGTTCTGGACGTCCGCGATCGTTCATAACGCGCTCGATGGTCCACCGTCTGCCTTTTCATCCGGTTCGTCTCTTTGGTGATCCGCATCCACAGGCGCTTCGGTAGGAAATAAAACATCAATTCAAGAGGTGATTCTTTCTTCGAGCAAAGTTCTGGTGTTGGATGGGCGGTCTCCTGCACCAATCCGCGAAAGCAGGACACATCGTCCGCAAAAACTGTCGAAGGCGCGCTCCAGGCAAAGTTTCGCAGCGCTTCCTGGTCCATCTGCTCGATGGACAAGGTGCCACCCAGGGCCTCAATGAAAGCGGCATCCATGTAGGGCGACTCCTCGTCGTCCGATACCTCGTCCTCGTCTGGATCAGGACGGACAGGCTCCACGTCGTCGTCGTCAGAAACCTGGCCGTAGTCGGAGCCTGAACTCAGACTCTCGTACTCCTCTCTATGATCTCCAGCCTTCATCAAGTTTACATCAGCTGGATCGCGTGGTACACCTGGTTCTCCAGCGTCGTCACCCTCGCTGGCGTCTCTCGGCTCCTCCACCGTGTCGTCCTCAGAGTCTAGGTCGGGCTCCGTCTCCGAGAGCAGCCGCTGGAAAGCTCCGATCACGACACTCTGGTCTGAGTCATGCACTGCGTCAGCACGTAGCGGGGATAGCCCAAAAGCTCTCCCAACCGCGTTCTGCGACAACGCAGGTGTGCCATCGTCCTCGCTGTCACTTCCGAACAGCGCGTCGACAGTGTTGGCCGAGAGGGCCACATTGCAATCAATCTGCGACGCTCGCACCATATCTCCATCACCGCTGTCGCCCCCACCGCTCCCAGCTTCACCGCCGCCACCGCTCTCAGCTTCACCGCCCCCACCGCTCTTGCCCTCACCGTTATCTCCACTCTCCTCGCCACTGCTGTTGTCCTCTTCATCCTGAATCAGTCCGGTTGTGATCGCGTGCTCCACCACCGCTCTCTCACCTACCACAAACCAAGTTAGAAATGACGCATAGTAATACTGCAATAGCACAACATACCGTAGAACACAATCTCGCCTTCTGCAGGAACCTCGCTGGACGGCCTGACGTACGCCCAATCGCTTGACAGTCCGGTGGGAGGCTTCGACCGCCACCCCGCGGCCTTGAGCTGGCGCCACAGGTGGCCGAAGTCTACCAGGCGCGGATCCAGGGCGGGCGCTGACACCGACGCTTGAGCCTCAGCTTTGGTCCTTGCGCTCACAGAGACCGGCATTTTGCTTACGTCTCAGCCGGCAAAATCTCGAATGGCTGAGAGTGCCCGAAGACTTCTGGCCACTCATCAAATGATGACAGTTGGAAAGGTCCACTTGAACCCTTTTCCTCGTACTGTCTTTGTGTGTGCAGCAAAAACCTCTCCAGCCTTATATCCGATCGGCCCCAAATTTGATTTGATTTCAGTATCAGGTCGCCGTTTCCGAGCCAACTCCAATATGAAGAAAACACTATGTCGTAAGTTACGACGTACAATTTGGACTATGTCATAACTTATGACGTTGGTAACAGGGGGGTTAAAAAGACATCACCCCTCCAACGAACAGAAGAGAAACAGCGAGTTTCGCTCAAGGGGTTACAGCCGAAACCGCAATGACATGGTTAGAAAACATTTTCCTTTAACGTTTTGCTCTGGTTTTACATGTAGAATTACCTCGATTAGAGCAAGAGGGAAAATGTGCTGGCAAGTTGGTAATGTAACCCCATAACATCCAAGCTACGACGTGTAGCGATGTCGACTTGTTTTGCCCCAGTAACTCCTGTAACTCATACAATGAAGATATCATCTACTCCTGTCACTCCCCGTATTCGTGTTCCGGCTGGTATACTGCTATAGTGCAGGCGGCTGCGTCTCTAACCAACAACGCAAGTGGTTCAAACGATGCAGACAAGTGTCGATCGATGCAGATCGCTATGTGCTATTATACAGACAGCACCTTCAAGAGCATAAGGTGTACGTGTTATTCATGCGTCGAGACGAATGGCAATAGTGAAGCGTCCTGCACTGCGCCATTCGAGTGCACGACATCAAAAACAACCGATCCAAACGCAGAAGTATCAAATAAAGGCGACTACGGCGTCGTGTGTGCCGTTTTGTAGTGGGATCCGATTGAACACACATGCGAGGGAAGCTGGCGCTTCCTTTGAACTCTTGCTTGTATTGTACTCTGCAAAATCCAGAATGAGATAGTTGAGACTCTCTCCAGCTACTCCTACATCATCGTCTAAGTACATGCCTCAAGTCTCCGACCTCTGAGTCTTATTCTACGCCAGCTCCTGCTGCGACCGTCCTCGGCCGCAGCACAGTGCGTGGTCAGGTCCTGAAGACCGTCGCCCCACTACACCGCCTCACCAAGACTTGACCGCGCACTTTGATGCCGCCAAGCATTGGATTGGTGTCGATGTTGCTCGAAGGTACCGATGTACCAATTACAGGGTACCTACATCCAACGACATAACCTCTTCAAGTTGAAGTCCTAAAGTTGCTCCAATGTTACAGTTAGCTCGGCATCACTTGCCGCAGCTATGTCCTGTTTCACCATCACTGGGATATCCCTGTACAATGTATTGAGCGACTCCCACGAGTCCTCAATTGGCTCTAGACCTTTCCACCCTACCAGCATCTCGTGACACTTCTTCGCCGAGTTCCACCGGTGCTCTTTGAGCTCCGCAACCGTAAGGTCGATTCCTTGAGCAGCCACGTGCTCTCGGATCTCCTCCGTTACTTCGAAAGACGCATCTGCGTAGAGCTTGAGGCGTGAGGCGTGCACGTCTGCTTCCGCTCCAGTCACTAAGTGCTGTACACGAAAGGAGTGATCGTCTGTACCAATTACCTGGTACGGGCATATCCATGTGACCAGTAGCTTGTCGTTGTGTTTTTGGTCGACCCTTGACCT